GCAGCCTTTTCCAATGTTTTGCAATAACTTCAGTCTTACAGAAAGTGAGATTGCCCACATAAAGAATGGATTTTTTGACTGGGGGATCATTAGCTGCAAACCCCAAATCAAGTTTTGATTTGCCTGAACATTTTCTGATATTACTTTTTACTGCTGTGGTGTACATATTGGTTAGTTTTCTTTTTTTGTTTTTATTAACAACAGTTTTAAAATCATTATCACTGTCATCTGACTGTGAGTTAATTTTTATATTATCATCATTTGTATTATTGTTTTTAGCAGGTTTCTTGTTGAAATTATCATCATTTATTAAGTTAGTCTTAGAGCCCCATTCAGTGGTTATTGCTGAACTGGGTGGTTTTGAGGGCTGTGTAGAGTTAGACTTTGAAGTGCCAAATTTCACACTACTTGCATACCTATGGCTATTATTTGTAACCATATTATTATTGTTATTTTTTAAAGAGCTAGACCATATTTTTTTGCATATATTATTATTGTCATCTATTATTTTTTCAATTTTAGAAAATTTATCAACTAAGCTTATAGAGTCAAATTGACAACTATCATTGGGCAGACGTTCAATTACAATAACAGCAAACAACGGCAAATTATCTCTGATTTTTTCCGAAGACGTCAGGTTGAACATTTCAATTATGTCATTTGCTTTTTCTGTTCTTGTGTTATCTTTGGAAGATAGTTTGACCTTTTCTTTCTTTAAAGTCTCAAGTTCATAAAGTAAAACTTTGTGAGCATCTTGAAATTCAGCTGCGGTATAAAAACTTATAACGGAACTCTTAAATTTATCATTATCATTAAATTTATCGCTATAACGGTTGAAAAACCATAAAAGTTCGCTAATAATAATTTTACGGCCGTCCGCCATTTGTTTACCATAGAAATTGATGATGATGATGATGATTAATTTTATAGAAAATATTGACGTAAAATGTGATTAATTCGTGATAAATTGTAATGATGATGTTTGTAAGGATGATAACGATGATGAAGATTGCATTGTTCCACGAGAACAACATTGATGATGAGAATAATGTTGGTGATAACGTTAATAATGATAACGGTCTAATTTTAACGTACTTTTGAAGAATAGATGAGATGAATTTGGGTTAGACAGTTTGTTCACTATAACGATACGTAAAAAAATTCTGAAACTGTTTAATTACATGGATGCAGGTTATTTTTTCCAAGCACGCAGAAGATATGTGTCATGTTGTTTTTGTGTCATGCTATGTAAATGTTAAAGATGATACCATTTGGAATGAAAAATTTCTGTTATTATCTGTTGATGATGAAAAAAATGGTGATGATGTTTTTGTTGATGATGGTGATGTAGAAATGATGAGAATGAGGGTGTGAGTATGATTGAAATAAGAATGATGATAGAAATATGAATAGTGAGGATAACGATAATGATTACAAAATTTAAAAAATGAGTATGATGATGATAACGATGATGATGATGACGATGATAATGATGATGATGATGACGATGACAATGACGATGACGACGTTGATGATGATGGTAACAATGATAATTAGTTATATAACACGAGAACCAATGTATGTTATGAAGATGATATAATGAAAACAACGATTATGGTGTTAATAGCTACAACGACAAACTTTGAAGACTATAATGATGAATATGTTGCTACTAAACTAGCAAAATTGCCACTAGAAAACAGATTGTGTTGTGATTAAACTTATGATGTTGTATGTGTATGATGTTGAATATGGTGAAGAATGATGATGTAGAAAATGGTGATGAAGATGATGAGACGAGAAACCGACAATACAATAATGATAATTACAGGAAAATTTCTAAATAATTTATTTAAAAATTTAAGAAAGAGGTGGTTAAGATTGTGATTAATCCACGGAATATTTTTTCTACCATAGTAGGCGGGATTCGAGTTTTGAAATCAAACGAGAGAGTTCGCGTCTTAAGTGTTACTCACAATTATGTTATAGATCCTTTGCTGACAGCAGGTGATTACAACATCAATCTCTTTCTGATCCGGCTTCTCATCGTTCACTCATTTATCCTTCATTCACTGCTTTTTCATTTTCTCATTCATTTTCTGTTTGTTTATTGTTGTGTTTTTTTAATTTACATTTATTCATTCACTACTTTTTCATGTGTTTTTTTCATTTTTTTGTTGTTTGCTTTGGAGTTGGTTCGTTTTTTTCTGGCGTCTTGGTTTTTATTTTCGATGTATGTAGAAAAATGTGTTTATTTACTTTTGTCGATAAATAGCTGGTGTGGCACCGGGAGATGAAGCGATCAAAACACATTCATCTATCAACAGACTAAATAGAGACATTGATAACAAACATTCATTTCATTTATTTAAATTAAAACCAGAAGCCCAAGAGGTTTGTACGGCCAAATATGCAGTGACGGATCCTAAGTTTGTGGTGGGAAGAAGGCAATTTTAAAATTGATGAACTTTTTTTTCTAATACTTGCATTTCCGTGTTTCAGTTGGTGGATGATTTTCAAAATTCTCAAGTCAATGACCTTTTCTGATTATTTTCATTTACTTTATTACTACATCATACACAGAACCTTCGATATTTTTTTCTTTCATAGTCTGGTGGGGGGTTTGAAACCCGGCATTTCCGCATTCCCTCCTGGCTCTGTCACTGCAAACAGGTTTCTCTTACAACGTGTTCCACGTTACTAACCAAAGTTATAACATTATATATAAAAAGTGGAATATGGACGGCCTGGTAGCGTAATGGTTAAAGACACCTGGTCCTGCTGTTGCAGTGACTGGGTGACTGGATTCAAATGCAAAGGAAATCTCTGCCCATTTATCATATAGGCTCTGTGTGTGTGTGTGTGTGTGTGTGTGTGTGTGTGTGTGTGTGTGTGTGGTGTGTGTCGTTAACACCTCTGAAGCAGGTGCACACGAGAGATTGACCTTTAATTTTTTTTTATAAAAAAAATATTGTCAAATTTGTTGTATGAATAACATACGTACTCTCATATGAATTATTTTCTCTTCTACTCTTCATTTTTCAATTAATTACGTATGATTTTGTCGCATAAATACAGAGCAAAAATAAATATATACAAATCTGAATAACAAATGAAAGATGTAAATATACGTTCTAACAGTTGAAGTAGTTTTTGTAGTAAGAAAAATATAAAAAAATAATGACAACAACAGTAATAATAATAATAATAATAATAATATAATAATAATAATAATATTATTATTAATAATAACAAGAGAATGAAGCGTCGTCCTCATCATTTTGATCTGCACATGCAAATTGTCTCCCAGCCCCACCGCCAACATCAATACTAACTACTCACACAGTCATCCTCCTAGTCGTCATCATCTTCGTCATTATTTGCTTTCGTCCTACTCATCATCAACCTTATCAACATTATTTGTTTTCATCGTCATCATCATTCTCATCATCATTATCATTTTTTGGTTTCATCGGCATATTCATCATCGTCATCGTTTTGGCCATTGTTTACCATTACCCTACAACGTATTTTAATTTTAGTAATATATCTTCAAATTCTTTCTAATTATATTTTTTATCCTAAATGTTTTCAATTTAGAAATGCCGTTACTTTCTGTCCATCATTTGATTGAACTTCCTAACCGTGCATATTAGATTAACATCTTGATCTAGTCAGATAATTCAGTTTGAGGTTTCAGCTTCGAATCAGTTATAATGAGCAACTTTTTGGGCAAAACCACAATACGCCTCTCGGTTTGATTGTGCTGTAAAAATGATAATAAAATATTTCGAATCACAGCCGCACGACTCAAATCGAAGAGAAACAATAACAAAACAGTTTGCCTGAGTTGTGAAGACAACACAGAACATAAAACAAGCGGCACACCACGTGACCGCGTACTTACAGATGCAATGTTTATAAACACCACAAACATTTACACACAAACACACACACAAAGACAAACAAACGAATAAACACACACACACACAAAAGCTTCTATTGACGAGTGCCTTCCTTCCTAATCAAAGTTATTGTTGAAAATAAAACAGACATGAAATCAAAGTAGGTGCATTCTGGTCATTAGTCGCACCCTTTCATCCTTATAGTAATTAAACTAATATATGCAATATCCAAGGCTATATACTAATACAAACCTAAGTGGATATGTGTATATGTAAATTTATAACATGAATTCATACATAACAAACTTGTTTCATTTCTATAATTTAATATAATAAATACAACATGAGATGTGAGCATCAACATTTTTTTCATTAAAATTTTCAATTCCAGAAGTATTGTTGTCCTAAATAGAACGAGCAAATCAAGAATCAGTCAGCTAAATTGTTGGGAAAAAACGTTGAAAACTAAAACACAAACGGTCGCAGGCCTATCCCTTTAACCCATAAAAATTTTCCTGATCCACCACTGAAGTTGGGGATGTAATTTTAAATTTATATTCTTAATTACATTTTTTCAAAATAAATGAAAATCTTCAAATAACAAAGCACAATAAATTGTTATGGTAGTTATTATTATTATTGTTGTTATAATTATTATTATTACTATTATTCAAATCAGATGGGCAGTCAAGGTGGAGGCTCTGGGTTTAAGCCGCTCCCTTCCTCCAATACTGGAGAACTTTTTTGGGTTAGGATTAATTCTAGTAAAATTTTTATTCTAAATTTTTATCTTTACCTTAGAAAAAAAATTGAGGAATTCGTTACAAAAAAGCTGTAAATTTTAAGAAAATTCCGAGCTCCCCCCCAAAAAAATTGTTGGACTCCGATTTTTTAAATTAGTTATTCTTTAGAATTAAAAAAATTATGATTATTATGTGTGTACGTGCGTGTGTGTGGAGTGTGTGTGTGTGCATGCGTTGTGCATAAAAAGAGTTTAAAGTGTTTTCAAACGTGTACTGAAAATTAAATAGACTCAGTTTATTTAGAGGAAGGTTTATGGGTCTAGTGGAAAATTTGTTGAGAGTTTACTTAGTACGTTCAAGTCATTACAAATTTCGTAACAACAACACAAACACGACAACATCATATTTTCATACCAACATCACAATGAAATGTTGTAGCAACAACATTACAATAATAACGCTACGGTAAGACATCATCACATCAACAACAACATCACCAAAGATACCAACAACATTACATTAAAATCATTACATGCACAGTATCACTTCAACAACAACATAATACTAACAACAAAATTGTGCTTCAAAACCTTAGAATATATCAAAGGAATAATAAAAGCAAAAAAGAGGAAAAGCAGACATCTTTGCTTTGCAGTGTTGTTTATTTCAGCTCTATATAAAAGTGTATGCCTACTTATTCAGACATGATCCAGTACAAACTAACATTTAATATATGAGAGCAATCAAAAAGACTTCCATGTGCTGGTAACTGTTCGTTGCATGTTTGGAGTGCATCAATATGTCTCTTGTCACCAATGTTTCTTTTAAGGAAGAACAAGCTGTGTGCAAAAATTATATTCAGTGAGCAAGTATTTCAAGAGTCAAAGCAAGTTTGTGAAGTTTCTGAAAACTTTATTCGTAACTAAATGCTACCAAATACATAAATATGTAAACATTTAAATAAGCATTTATTTATATATTTATTATAATATGTGTAATTCAGTTGAAAAAAATGTTAAAATTTAAAAAAAATAAAAAAAAATACTTTAGATCAACTCCATTCACTATTTTCCCTTCTGCACTTGTGGTTTTTCAGAATTTATAAATTTTATCAATTTCAACTTTCTGGGAGTTTCACATATTTAGCCATGTGATTATGAATGTCTACGACTTATAGCATTGAAGCATTCATTGAAATAGCTAACAAAAGCTCACTAATAAGAATATCTACTTGT